ATGAACAAGCTCCTCTACAATTAAGAAGATATTTATAGTGAAATATGATGTTTAGCGTCAATCGAAAATTCATTTTCAAAGATATTCACTCTCAAATACAGAGAAATAAACAGTTTTCCACACAATATAAATTTTAAAAAATATATATATCAACTAAAGAACTTTTGCAATATTACATGAGTGCGGCGTTAATTAAAGGAGACATTTGAAAAGACAAAAAATAAATGAAGCGAGAGGGCTGTGCAAGTACGAGTACGAAGTATAATCTCTTATATTAGGCATTCCGACAGTACATATAGTACATGTGAGCTTTGATATGCTGACATGGACTGTATGCCCTGTGTATTTTTCTATGGCACTCTCATCGAGACAGATGCTCTGTGTCTTTCCAACTTGTACTTGCGCAGCTCTGATATGTCACTTACATATTTAATACATGTTATTTAATGAATTATAAAAGTCAATACTAATTATACGACTACCCTCATCTACTCCACCAATAAATACGAATGCTGTATGCTATTATCGTGCATAATTCTAGACATATATATTTGATTTGAAAACAACACTCAGCAAAAGTTAAAAGAGTCAATCTGAAAATTATGTGACGGCTAGTTTGTGGTTGTAGTTCCAGAGATCATCGCTATTCATTAAACGAAAATATTTATGTAAATAAACTTACGTATTAAATTCGAAAATCGTTTCAATTATTCAACCGAGTTTCCAATTTTTGTAAAAAAGATCCTTGAAAACCTTTAAAATGTTCGAGAGAAAAGTTCCTCTTAACAATTGAACCTTTAAATTTCAATGGCACAATATAAAAATTAGGTTAGCCATGTTTCTTCAGTATTGTTACTAAGTTTCATGCGCAACAATCAGCAATAGGGAAATATCTTTTTACGTATCTATTTTAGTTTTGGATTTTTTTGCAAATAGTTAAGATGATTAATGATGGGACTTTTGTCCAGTTCAAAAGACAACAAAACAGTTATATCTTGAAAAATTCTTCTATTTATTTTTGTTCAGAATTTGCTGGGTGCTAGTATTAAAATTCTCTCATGATTTTTAGATTTACCAATCTTTCAAGGATCTTTACTTAAATTCAGCTGAAAGCCGTGAAACAACTAATTCATTCGTTTTGTGCTAGGTACTTGTATATTTTTAAGCATTCGAAAACCCTCCTCTTGAAAAGTCTCCCTTAGGAATCCGATAGAACTCTGACAGAATCCTTATATATAGATCTAGAATCAATCTTCATTCAATCGTAAAAAAATCTTGACAGAATTTGATAAGATCATTTCATAAACAACACAAAAAGATTAAAGGACTGGGGACAGTTCAGTCACAAAAACCGAGTCTAAGGACAATGTTACTAGGCCCCTAAGCTAGTATGAAGTGTCGTACTATTCTGCTCCTTCCATCATCTATTCTTCCTAAAAAATAAACGCATATTGCCCATATGATCACAAGTGAGCGTCATTGTACAAGTCCCATTTTGTCAGGACAAATAGAGCTTGCTGAAATCTACAAAATGATGATAAAATATGATTGAAAATATGTTGCCTTCAGTGTGTTATGTTTTGCATAAGGAATGAGGTACGAAACGCTGTGCGAAACAGATTTTCATTGTGGAAGCTGAAGAGATGGACATCTGGCTCAATGTCGAGTGACGTTGAGTGGGTAGATTGTGTGGAAACTTCGCAGTAAGCTAGCGTGCTAGGAATGATATAGTGAGAGAAAAAATGATGAGACGATAAGAGAGAACAAGATATGTGGGATTAAAGGAAACGTAAAGCGATACACATAGGTAAGGTACTGTTACTGATAGAGGGATGGTAGTAGTTAAGAAAATCCGAGGGATCTATTCATAATGGGGGCCTGAATGCGGAATATATTTGATGTAGAGAAGGATGGGGAGAGGGATATATATATACAGAGAGAGAAAGGGAGGAGTAGAAAGATGTGCAGATGGTGTAAGGGAGAGAGAGAAATATAGAAAGATATATAGAGGGAATGGGATCAGAGAGGTAAAGAGAAGGATAGATATATAAATCACGCGTTGTCACAATGCTTTTTACATTTCACACATGTCGAACTCCAAGAAATATTGCATTGGTTACCGTCAATGCCTCTCGAGGGATGGTCGTTGGTCTTTAATCGGAAAATCCGTTCGGTTATTTTTTGCTGCTCGTTTATTCCCATATCCTCTCACAAGCGAGGACTACATATGCGGTAAATGTCGTTTAATGTATCACAAATGGAAATCTGTAGTACATATTGGTTTGTTTCCTTTTCTTTTCTGTTTTGGAAGAGATTATTTTTACTAGGGTTTGGTTCAAATAGCTAGAATTCTACCCGTAATTCTCAATTTTTCGATTCAAACAAAGTTTTTGTGTAGAAAGATTACACTATTCGGAATCAAAATGAAATGTTTAGTCAATTGATATGTATTTTTATTGTCCTGAGTTACATAAATTTTGTTTCGAGCTTTCACGTAAAATGGAATATTACAAAAAAAAACTTTAAAATGCATGTCAATTGACTGAACATTTTATGCTGATTCTAAATATGTTAATTTTATTACACAAAAGCAGTTTAAATCGAAAAAATTGAGAATTACGGATAGAATTCTATCTATTCAGGCCAAACTCTAGGAAAAACGAGTTTTTTCAATAAAGAAAAGAAAGCAAAAAAAGACGATGCGTAATTTGTGACTAATGGTATATGATGCATCGAATCAGATGAAATTTTCAATTTATTCGTTACATGAAAAGAAAGATAGGTTTATAAAAATGATCTAGTAGCGTTACGGTCGGCATGATTCGGAGCGTCATTGTGAGTGCATTTGTGATATAGAGTCGGTTTAATAACTCATCTAGAGTTCGTTTTTTATGCTAAATCCGAAAAAACTATTCTCAGAAGCTTAAGAAAAACACGAAACATAATATAAGGTATATTTGGGAAACGATGTATTTTTTTGAAAGAAAACAACGTCTTTCGAGTTTCTTGTATTGTTTGACTTGAAAAAATTATATTCGTGAGGTAAAAAGTTGTTTTTCATGATCAGGTGCTCACATTCTATCAAATGATATAGAAAAAGTAAAAGAAACTTCTATTCGACTTTTTAATTGCCTACAAGCTATATTTATTTCTTTTTATGTTTAGATGTGATTTTATAGATCAGTCAAGTGTATCTAACAACGAAATAAATTGAATACGAACATAGCTAAGGAAGATAATTATAGTAGATAAATTGCGTTTATCATAAAAAAATATCTTCATTTATAATATTTATTAATTATTGTTTGTTTTATAAAAGAATGAATTGATAGTGACACTATTTAAATATTTCATCTAGTCTCTTTCGATTGAAAGAAATTATTATTTTTGTTTTTATAAGAAAGATATTAAGCATCAATTGGACAAGAAAAAGAATTGTAAGTTATGTAGATTTATCTTTTTAAAATTTCTTACCAGATATTTTTATTTTATAGTGAGAGATATTCATTTATATAATCATTAAAGAGAAAATGATTATTTATAAAAAAGAAAATATCAAATTTTTGAAAATGAAATTTATTTATTTTTTATTAATTCTGAAATAAAATATTTTCAATTAAAATATAAAATTTTATTTCAAATTATTTTTTCGTCTTTTCAGTTGTTTTATGTATAAATCTCTTTTTAATAAAGAATTAAAAGAAAATTTATTTGAAATCTGAGTACATTCATATTGAAAATATTTATTATAATCAAAATGTATAAAATCGACAAAAGATAATGGAAAATAAACAATAATCGACTTTGAGATGAGTTGTATCAATATCGTCGAATTTATTTTCTTATCTGTTTTTTTTTTTCTTAAACTATTCGATCAGATGAAAAGAAAAGATTTCAATTTAATCATTCAAAATAAAATCAACTTGATTAACAAAAAGTACTTTATCAGAAACGATTTTCAACTATTTTCAATTTTTTTTCTTTCAAAAAACAAAAAACAATTCAGATTCAAGAACTTTCTCATAAAATTCTTCGATAATCGACATAAACAAATATTTTCGAAACTTTCAATGCAAAATATTATTGTTCAGTATAGGATCTTTATATTAATAATTGAACAAAATAATTATTATTCAATATCAAATCAATTGTTCTTTCAAAATTAATAGATAAAAAAATATTTTCAACAAAATCTTCTAAAAACATATTCGAAAAAAATTGATTTGACAAAAAATTTATCATTGTCACTTTTATTTACAAATAAAAATGAGTTTTTAAATAAAGAATTATTTTATTATATTCAATTAAGAATTAAATCTTTTTTCTTTATACATTATATTATAACAAAATGAATCAAAATTTCATCAAATCAATCGAATCGATTTATTTTAACTTTTCTTTAATTGACATTTTTTTTTTCTTTGTATTAAGTGAAATATCAAACTAATGAACAACGAAATTTTATCTATTGAACGTTCAAATCATCGACGTTCGTTACGTAACAATACTCAACAGCACAGAAATCGTCTATCAAAGTTATTTCATATGAAAAATGTGAGAAAACTCTATATGATTTCAACAGATTTGTATGTCTTTTCATATTTATTTATTTATTTATTTATTCTTTTTCTTTCAGCATTAAACGATATGGATCAATAAGAACTTTTTTTGCAGTTTTGGCATTTGTTATTTTTACAATTCTTTCAATTACAATTGGAGTGTTGACTGTTTATCTCACTTCACCAACAGAACAAAGTATTTTATTTTGTTTTCATCTGAAAAAAAAAATTAATTAAATAAGAAAACAAATATATTTTGAGTATGTCAATTGATATTTTTCATGTTTAGATATTAAATGTCGATTCATTTTCAAACGATCAGTTTCACATTCAATCACATATGATTCAAGTCCACAACATGTGGCTGTTGGACATTTCAACAATGACAGTTATCTGGATTTTGTAGTAGCAAATTCTGGCAGTGATTCTATTGGATTATTTATGGGATTTGAAAATGGATCATTTGATGATCAAATTTTATTCTCAACTGGATTTCAATCTCGTCCATATTATGTTGCTGTTGATGATTTCAATAATGATTCTCATGCAGATATTGTTGTTGCAAATTATGGTGTCAATAGTATTGGAGTATTTCTTGGTTATGGAAATGGAAATTTCACAAATCAAATAATCACGTCCCTAGGACCTTCTCATCCAATCGCATTAGCCATCGGAGATTTCAATAAAGATAATCAGTTGGATCTTGTTGTGGTTAATAATGGTACTTCAACGATTGCTATACTTTATGGTTTAACTAATGGAACATTTCAAATAAAAACATCTTATGATATGGGTTATGATTCTAGTCCTTATTCACTTGCTGTTGCTGATATTAATGATGATAAGAAACTTGATATTGTCGTTGTTAATTCAGGTACAAGTGAATTAGCTGTTTTATTAGCAAGTGACAATGAAACTTTTGTCATTCACAAATATTCAATTGGAAAAGATTCTTATCCATTTTCTGTTGCTATTGGAAATTTTAATAATGATGATTATTTGGATGTTGCTGTTGCTAATTCTGGTACAAGTAATGTTGGAATATTTCTGGGCTATGGAAATGGGAGTTTTATGAAAATACAAACATATTCGACTGGTTCTGATTCATATCCTGATTATGTTGTTGTTGGTTATTTCAATAATAAAATTAATCTTGATATTATTGTTATTGATTCAATAAATTATAGACTAATTGTGCTGAAAGGATATGGAAATGGAAGTTTTTCGATTGTACGAACAAGACAAATTGGAGTCAACTCTTATCCGTCATCAATCTCTGTTGGTGATTTTGATAATGATGGAGATTCCGATATTGCTATTACAGTTCGAGATGTTAATGTAGTTGAAGTATTTACTCAATATTTTAACTATCCTGTTCTAGATGAAACCACATATTCAACAGGGAAAGGTTCTAAACCTCGTTTTTCGACTGTTGGAGATTTCAATAATGATGGTCATTTGGATGTTGTTGTTGCTAACTATGAGAGTAATAGCATTGGTTTATTTATCAATCATGGTAACGGAACATTTAGAAATCAAGAAGAATACTATGTGGGTGTATATTCCACTCCATCATTTCTTGTTACTGGTGATTTTAATAAAGATCAATATCTGGATATTGTTTTGATCTTGTATAATAATAGTAAAATAGCGATTTTACTGGGATATAGTAATGGAAATTTTAGCTACAAAGAGATTTATTCAACTGATGAGAATTTTTATTTCCATTCAATCGCTGTTGGTGATATCAACAATGATGGTCATCTGGATGTGATTGCACCTGATGTAAAAAATGGTAGTTTTAATATATTTATCGGATATGGTAATGGAACGTTCAAAAATATTATTCTCATTTTAACTATCATTGACTTCTATCCATATGTTATCCAATGTGGTGACTTAAACAACGACAAAATATTGGATATTGTTGCATCTGATAGTTTTGGTCATGGAATCGCTATTCTTTTCGGGGACGGTAATGAATTTTTTCAAAATCAACTAATCACTTCGACCAAGGGTTCTCATTCCAGTTCTATTACTATTGGAAATTTGAATAGTGATAATTGGTTGGACATTATTTACGTTGATGAATTCTTCGCATATGTTGTTATATTATTGAATAGTGGCAATGGAACCTTTGAAAATGTATCTCAGTATTTGACTGTTCAGGGATCTCAACCGCATTCTGTAGCTCTTGGTTATTTAAATGATGATAATTTACTTGATATTGTAATTGCCAATACTTTGGATGATAGTATAAATATATTTTTTGGAAATGGAAATGGAAATGGAAAATTTCGAAGACGGATGAGAATTTCGACTGGATTTGAGTCTCGTCCAAAATCGACTGTAATTGGTGATTTTAATAATGATAATAAACAAGATATTGTAGTTGCTAACACAGGAAATGATAACATTGTTATTTTTTTGGTTCACTATGAAGCAGATTTTTTAAATGGAACCTACTATGTAACAGGTACTGGTCTTCATCCATCCTCAGTCGCTGTTGGAGATTTAAATAATGATGGTGTTTCAGACATTGTTGCAGCGAATCTCGGTACTAATACTATTGAAATATTTCTCGATTATAACAAAGAAAATTTCATTAGCAGCAGTATTTTGCAATTGAATCCGTATTCACTACCACAATATGTTATTGTTGCTGATTTTAATGAAGATAGTTCACTAGATATTGCTGTTGTCACTTATTACGATCATAGTCTAAATGTATTTCTTGGATTAGGTAATGGATCTTTTGGTGAAAAATTAGTATATTTATTGCCATCTGAATCTTTTCCAGCAGCGGTTGCTTCTGGTAATTTTAACCAGGACGGTCGAATGGATATTGTCATTGGTAGTGACGGCACAAATGACATATCCGTATTTCTATCGTTCGATTATTTGACATTTAGCACACATGTTATTTATACAGATTATTTAAATGCCGTACTAAACTGCATTGCGACAGGTGATTTAGACAATGATCATATATTAGATCTCGTCGTTTGTAATTCCGTTGCCAATACTATTATTGTCTTTCTCGGATATGGTAATGGATCGTTTCTTGAACAAATATCCTATTCAACTGGCAAAGGTTCCTCTCCATATTTCCTTGTTGTAGATGACTTTAATAATGACAAAAATCTTGATATTCTTGTTACCAACAGAGATACTGATAGTGTGGGTCTATTTTTGGGTTATGGAAATGGAAGTTTTCAGTCACAAATATCATATCCGACGGGTGACTTATCTTGGCCAATATCAGTGGCGACTGATGATTTCAATAGTGACACTTTACTCGATTTTGTAGTTGCCAATTCTGGTAGCAACATTATTGGTGTTTTTTTTGGAAATGGTGATGGAACATTCCAAGAGCAAATCAAATATCGTATGATCAATGGAACTAATCCAGTTTGGATTTCTGTGAACGATATGAATAATGATGGAATTTTGGATATAATTGTTGCCTATTTTCGAGGGGATAATGTAGGCATCCTTCTGGGATCTGAGGATGGTACTTTTGGAAATCAAATAATATTACCAACAGGATCGAATTCTGGACCTATTTCGATTGCTATTGCAGATTTCAACAATAACAATGGGATGGATATTGCTGTAGCAAATTATTTTTCAAAAAATATCTTCATCTTTTTCGGTTATGGTAATGGCACCTTCTCCTTAGAGACAATGATTTTCGAAACTTCTTATTCATCATTGGTAGCTATCGTTGCAGCTGATATTAACAATGACACAGTATTTGATATTCTTATTGTTGACGCTGACGAGAAGAATAGTAGTATCGGTATATTTTATGGACTTGGAAATGGAAATTTCACATTACAAACAGTTTATTCAACTGGTTTTAATTCAAATCAAAGAATGATAGTTATTGGTGACTATAACAATGATGGTAAACTAGATCTTGCGATTCCCTATTTCAATCAGAATAGTATTGGCATTATGCTTCAACATTCTGTGCAACCTTTTGGACCATATACAACTTTTACTCTTGATGACAATACCCATCCTTTTTCAGTTGTGGTTGCTGATTTCAACGATGATCATCAACAAGATATTGCAGTAGCCAATTTTGGTACAGATAATATTTGTATTCTACTTGGAAATGGTAACGGAAATTTCGCTGATCAGATGACATATTCAACAGGTACTCAATCTGGTCCAAGTTCAATTAGTGTAGGTGATTTTAATAATGATCATCATTTCGACATTGTTGTTACAAATTTTCGTGCAAACAATGTTCTTATTTTACTTGGATATGGAAATGGAGCATTTCTTTGTGTAACGAATTATTCAACTGGTATTAGTTCTTCGCCATTTTCAGTTGCTGTAGCTGATTTGAATAAAGACAATCATTTAGATCTTGTTGTGGCTAATTGGGGCACCAATAATATCATAGTGTTATATGGATTAGATAATGCAACATTCACCAACCTGACATTCTATTCTCTTGGATATAATGCAAGTCCTCGATCTGTTGCTATTGGAGATATTAACAATGATAATTTATTGGATATAGTTGTCGCCAATGATGGAACTAATTATGTCGAAATTCTCTTACAAACGTGCTAATTTTATTTAATAATAATTCCAATATTGAGCGATATCATTTATTGATTACGAATTAACATTTTCATAAATGTAATTATGTAGAAAATTTTAATATCATTTAAAAAAATAAAAATTCATATTTTATTGATGTAAATAGTTATAGTAGATGATTAATTAGCAAGATTCCTGTTTTTTTTTATTTTTAAAAAAGAATGATAATATGAATTCAATGGTTTAGTGTTGCATATTTTATTATTTCGATAAGAATTATAAAATAGAGTAAAATTGTTGGATGAAGAGATAGTTGAATGAACGATACGATTATTTAATTATATTAAATATGTAAATCATATGAATTACAGAAGTATTTTAATGATTTGTTGAAAAGAATAAACATTGTGTTTATTCTCTGTAACTGATATCAGAACGAAGAATAAAGTGAAGATTAGCGAAAAGATTTGTTACTATTGAAATAAAATAAAATTCTTTCTTAACTGATACAAAATAATCTTAAAATACAATGGATCAACGATTGTCACTTCTTAGCAGATAGAAATGATGGAAGCTTTTTCAGTGAGAATTTTTGGAATATTTATTCTGCAAAAGTGTAACGATAAAACCAATAAATTCATTAAAAGATTTTGGTCTCATCTTCTTAGTATAATAAAAATAAAACCGACTGATATAATGATGAAATGAATAAAGAATTGGTCATGTTGTGATCAGATAAAATATTTTGTTTGTCTAAAATGATGAAAAAAAAGGAAAATTTTAACAAAAAAGTATGTTAAATAAGATTATTGAAATGGATAAAATTCAATGATATTTTTAACATAAAATTGAAAGCAATTCTTTTAATTAAACAACACATTTATATTTCAATTGATTATACAAAAAAAATATGTTTTCTTAAAATTTATTTTTGATCAACAATTATTTTGATTAAAAATATATCGTAAGTTTAATTTTCATCAGATTAAATATTTCAAATAATAGATTAACTCTCTCATAATTATTTTTGTATTTAATTATATTTTGAATCATTGGCGGCGCAAGCTAAAGTTTCTAGGGGAAGCAATAAATTTTTTAAAGCAACAATAATAATCATAAGTTTTCTATTTCAAACTCTACATATAATCAGTTTATTGATGTTCAAAATATTTTTTTTCCCATCTTTGTTTCTTGATATAATTTCCGTTACAATAGTATCTGAATCAATATCAAAGTCACGTTCAATACATATTAAAGATGAACTGGATAGTCTTTCGCGATCTGTTATGTTTCGAATGTATATTTTAAGTCTTCTTAAGGATGAAAAACTTCTTTCACATTCACATACATTAATTGCAATTGTCCATTGTAGTTGTAATGTAGGTAGGGATTTACAAAATGACTTTTTTTTTCAGTCTCAGTCCTGGTTCAGTTCCGGTCTTGATTATAGCTAAAAATTTCTGTTTTCAAATATATCAAGACTTAGAATCGGTTTTTCCTCAGGTTACACACGCCCTGCATACATGTCAGCTGGTACAATACTATTCGAGGGGAAAAGAATGTCTGTTATCTGAAAAAGTACCTTAGGATTTGGAAGACTAGGACTTCTATGTTTAGAACTAGTTCCGGAATTTGTTTTGCAAGATTAAGCCTAAGTTTTGTTTTGCTATTCCCAATAAGTAGCAAAGTTTTTCTCCAATGACGATGAGTACAACAAAAAAAAAACTAAGCAATTCACACTAAAAATAGCAGAACAATGATAAAACATTGTATATATAAGGAAATGTTTCAACTGCTACCGAATAAAATCTTTGTATATTATGTTTTGCATATTCGGAAAACTGTTCAAGTTTCCAAAAAAAAACCAATTTTTAGTAGCATGATCGTAATCTGTAAAGTGCTTGTATCGGATTAGAGAACAAAAACAGTCGATTTACAATTTTTCGATGAAAACAGAGTAAAAAAAAATACGAAAATACTGTTGTATAATAGTTGAGGAAAATAAGCTGACCGGAAGCAGCCTGAAAAGTTTAAATCCCAGTAAAATTGAAATTTTAGTCCCCATCTCGGTTCCGATCCTGCCGGGACCGAAACCACTTTACAGGCCGCTAACTATATGATGTATCACATGATTCTTGTAATAAGTTTTCTGGTTTTCTTGTGAAATAATATGAGACTTTAGTTTTATCAGGTATTTGGCAAATATATGGAAGTCTAACTACTAAATCATAAGAAAATCGAATAGATTACAAAGCAACGAAAGCTGATCGAGAGTTTCTTGATGTAGCCGGAAAATAATAGAAATAATGGTCCTTGTTTTTCCTCAAATCATGTAATGCTAATCAACCTTAAATTTGACAAAGATAGGTGTCGGAGATATATGATGAAAGGAGACTCTTGGAGCGAAATAAAACAAGTCTCATAATGCATCAACATTCTTCAAATAACCACCAGAATACGGATTATTAGGGGAAGCAACAACTTTTTATTGCTACCCCTAATTTTCTGCAGAGGAAGCAATTACTTCCCCTTGCTACTATGGCGCGTCGCCTATGTTTTGAATGATTTATTCTATTTTTCAAAGTATAATTTATTGACGATAAAAACTAAATATTAATGGGAATAGCAATATTTTGATCATGTCGAATATATCAAATAAATATTAAGAAGAATCAATTTTAAATTGATTGTAAAAAAATAGAAATTTAAAGAAAAAAGAAAATTTTCTTTCTCTTAGCAAAATAAAGGTCGATTAAAGATTTATCATAGATGGAAATTAAAACAAACTTAATTTATTCAACCAATCTTATGTAAAACAATTTTGCTCATGTTTTTATTTACTACAATGCAAACATCGAAAGATCGTTTTACATTACAATTATTTTAATTGTTTTATATTTTATTGATAATGTAAATTATATAAAAATGAGTAAAATTGTTTTGTTGATAATTATTTTCCTAAAGAATAAATATTGATTCTATATTTTTTTTAAATTAATTTCTAAATAAATAAATAATTCTTTTCCTTGAAAAGAATTATTAATATCTTCTGTGAAAATGATGTTAAGAATTAGGTGAAGATTGAATAAATATTTTAACAAATTTGATGGGAAAGTTATTTCTATAAAAATTTCAAGTGTAATAATTAATCAAAATGTTTTTTAGATGAATCTAAATAGAAGTATTTATGATTGAAATTGATATTTACAGTTGATGTAAAAGCAAAACAGAAGAAAATTGATCAAAATAAATAAATAAATATTTATTTCATTTAATAATTTGATATATACATAGAAATTCTAATAAAATAATTCTTGAGAATATTTAAATAACAATAAACGATTTAACAGAGTATGTTATTATGAATTGAAAATTTCTAAAATGAGATAAGATCGATTATAAAAATAAAAGATGAAAAGAAATTTTCATCACAAGAAAAGTTACTGAAATTTCAGAAACTTTTCTTTTGAAATGAATATTTATTTATTTTTTTTTTCAGATTGCGTTAAACATTTTATAAAAAAAAAACATAATAGACTGTGTATTTCATTCGAAATTTATCAATAGATTTATTTAAAATATCGAAATAGTTGAAGAGAATTTCGATAAAGATCGATTTTGTTTAATCTTTTTTAGTTTTCATTTTTGATAAACGGGGTGTGGGTGTGGGTGTGGGTGTGTGGATGTGGATGTGGCTAAGGTTCTAATCAAAGCAGAGACTCTCACACTCACACTCAGCCATAAATACCAACACCAACAGCCACACCCACACCCTAGGGGTGTGGACGTGGGTGTGACCCTCCTGTGAACCGATGCCCACACCCCACACGCACCCATAAACATAAACTAGACCGTTCTGTATTTAAATTAATAATCATGATGATTGTTGTTTCATCTATTCTTTTACTGTCTTTTTTATCGATAGTTATTTTATTTCATATTACGCGCAACAGGTATGTATTTAAGTTTCAGAGAATCTATAAAATTTGTCTTTTTTAATACAAGAAACGCATCAATAGTAATAAATTTAATCATGAAGCGAAAAAAAATCCGATTTATACGCATCGTTGTTATTTCAATCAAAACATTCAATGACAAGTGTCAACAATGAGCTTCGTCTGGATAAGCTATCAATAAGTTTAGATCATGGAAGCAGACTATTTAAAAAAATAAAACAAGAGTATGCTACTCAATTGAAAATAAATACTTTCTAGGCATAGTCTTGTTGTAAAAGTAAAATTAGAGAACAAGATTAGTGTTGGCGCTAATGATAGTGTTTATTGGGTTAAATAGCCACAAAATACAACTGCTGTAAAAACCCTTCTATCCTACGAAGAATTTACATGGAGACGAGAAGTTAATATTTATGAAGAATTTCATTTACATCATGAAAATATTCTTTGATACATTGCTTTTGACAGTATGGCGAATATTTGAGAGAATGAAAAACGTCGTTTTCTACGATTATTTTTGTTTGATTGATTTCTTATTTATTCGACAGACTTTGTATTATTAATTCACAAATATCATCACTAGTATTCATCAAAATTACATTATAGTTTTCGTATTATTATTTGTTTATTGTTTATGTTTGTTTAACATGTCTTTCAATTCCTTCCAATACTGATGATTCTTCAAAACAATTGGTTAGTAATGATTAATTCGTTAAGTTTCGAATATAATCCTCTACATAGTAACGTCTATGAAACGATAACCATGACTTTCTTCTGCCCATCTTGGTCCATGTCTGTAATCAATATACTATGAGAATTCTCGAAATCATCGAGCATTCTTTGACTGAAAAATAACTTTTACGAGGATGAAGTTCGAGGATGTCGACTCTGATCGTTTGAAAAATTTTGTGTCATAGCATATGTTTGCTTGACACTATTCAAAACAAATTTATCTTAAACAAACCACATGAAAAACGATTCAAAATAGTGCCAACACAATTTTTCAACCTTTATCAACAAATGTCTTTCATCATCTCCGAGTTCTGATTTTAGTCAGAGAATATCGTATTTGGAATA